AAAAAAAAAAAAAAACAAGGACAAAACTGAAGGCAAAATCAGAATCTCGGTTTCTCTCTGTGGAAGTCGTCATTGCATTTTTTTTCCGGTGTCCGCTACTTGGTCAGATGCTGATCTTTTCTCATATATGAATGCTTGGTGAGACATTTTATTCAACAGCGTGATCATGGGAAGACATCATCTAAGCCGGTTTGAGCAGTTCACTTGAATAAATTTCTCATCCGGAAAGAACCTAAGCTCACATGCACATTATAGCCGTTGAAGAAATAGATCAAACGACTTAGGGATAATCGGTAGAAGGCGCCCACGCCAAAACCTTTTCAGTTTTGGGCGCCAAAAGTTTAGCCGTTTGGTACTACCGGCCCAATGACTTGCATGTGGGCTGCTACAGGCCCACGCGTCGCTCCAAGGTCCCTACCGGATCATGCATCTCGGGCATAACAGCGCCAAATTCATTTTGATGTAAAAGAGGCCGGCGGTGGTAACGATGAAGTAAAGAATGAGGCCCACGTACGCGATTTTGAAAAAGAAGGGCCCTAATGGTTCATGAATCTGGCGCAGAAACAGCGCCAAATTCTTGAACCGGTAGAAACAGGCGCAGGGAGATGTGGCCACCGAGCGAAGGCGCCTTTCACCCAGGGGAAAGTTCTTTGGGCCAGTAGTACCGAACGGCCGAACTTTGGGCGCCCAAAACTGAAAAGGTTTTGGCGTGGGCTCTTTCTACCAATTATCCCAACGACTTAGCTTTCGGTGCCTTCTGTATTGCACATGATAGTCGGAAACATGGGCCGTGAGGGGCGGCGGGGGGGGGGGGGGGGGAGACTGAACAACCCAGGACATGGCTTACAAAGTGCAGTCTTAATTCCCGTGAAATACACTCATCTACAATCTGTACAGACCGACCATACCCTTTATGAGAGGAGGAGGAGGAGGAGCAGAAGGAGAAGAAGAAGAAGAAGAAGAAGACGAAGAAGAAGAAGAAGAAATGAAATGAAACAGCGAGGCCAATCGATATGCATCCATGTCTCAACGAAGAACATTGAAGCTCCTACTGCGAAGAAGAAGAAGAAGAAGAAGAAGAAGAAGAAGAAGAAGAAGAAGAAGAAATTGACGTAGGGAAGGAAAATAAACATGCGAGACGCAGAATGAGCCGCCTATTTGTTGCTCTTCAGTTATTCAAAATCACAACAATACACACACAGCATTCTGGCAGCATCTCTCTCTCTCTCTCTCTCTCTCTCTCTCTCTCTCTCTCTCTCTCTCTCTCTCTCTCTTCAAAGTTTCTCCGCAAGTTTAGCAAACACATCTATTAGCTTGGCTTGATTCGACATTTCTGCAACTGAGCGACGTTCTTCCATCTCAAGTCGGCGCTCGTCTATGTTAACCATCCTCTCAAGCACCTGGACTTGCGTCTCCCCAGTCTTCGCCTGCCTCTCCACTGCCTCTGCTATCCGATCAGTGTTGGTTGTCAAAGCTTTTGACACTTCAAGCATCCCTGGACCATCGTCAGCATCTTCCCTGGGACGTCGCCCCACTGAAGGCGAACTAGTTTCACCCTCTGATGCCTGCGGCCATGGAAGTGTGTCCCCACCACCTGAGGCTGAGGATGGACCTCGCATGTTTCTCGTGTGTGCATCCAGGACCCTGTTGCCGGCCACAGACTCCTTTTTCGCAAGGAAAGAGTGCATGACAGTGTAGTGGTCCGCCTTAAATCTTGTCAGCAAGTCCTCTTTCTTGCGCCGCTGGACTGACATGTGGAAGTAATTCTCCTCGCCACTGGCAGTCTTTTTATTCCAGTCGAAAATTTTCCTCCAATCACGCGATAGATCCCCCCACTTGTCCTTGCACGATTTGAAGTTCTTAGCACTCCGAGGGCAGATCTCTCGAACAGTGTCCGCTATCCGCCCCCACTTCACCGGCGCCGTGTCCCATTTGCCGTAGTCTGGGTCAACTGCAATCTTAGCTGCCTCAACACGCTTCGCTTCAATAAGTGCAAACGTCATCTCGCGACCCCATGCTTCACCGCGACACTTCTTCCCTCCAACATTCGCATGATCCTCTAAGTCCTCATGCACCGATTCATCTGCATCTGCAGATGAATCTGGTTGGCTACCAATAGGCTCCTCAAAATCCATTTGATTGGTCGCAAAAGGTGTGGCTGCAGGTACTCCACGTTGTGTCCCTGCACTCACAGAAGTTTACGGCCGCATGGGCACGGCGCCGACCCTGCCGACCTGACTTGTGTGAGAGCGCACACCTTGCAACTCCTCACGGCTTGTCATCACCACAGCAGGTTGTCCTCCAACAGTAGCAGGAGTCATTGTAGTGACCAACCCTCGACCTAAACTGTGTCGTGCACTCACTATATCAGCGGAAGCAGGAGTTGACAAAATCGAACAAGCCACGTCAGCATCCATATCGGGCGTCGGGACTCGAGTGGTCAGCGTTCTGTTAGCCTTTGATCAGCACTCACGGAACTTTCGTGATTGATGATGATGACGGTGATGATGAGATGATGAGGAGGATGATGAGGATGCGCATGAGGATAGTGATGGTGATCATGAGAATGATGAGACCCGCGTGTGGCACGTAAAAGAGAGAGAAAGAGAGAGAGAGAGAGAGAGAGAGAGAAACAGAGAAAGAGAGAAACGGAGAGGGAAAGGCAGGAGCGGCTACTTCCATCAATGGGATGACGATTGCGGACGCTGAATCATTACTCCACGGATTCGCTGCGCAATGTTCTTCGACTTCCATGCCTAGGCGTGAGAGAGAGAGAGAGAGAGAGAGAGAGAGAGAGAGAGAGAGAGAGAGAGAGAGAGAGAGAGAGAAAGAGAGAGAGTGTCCACGTTCGCATGTGAAAGAGAGAGAGAGAGGGAAAGAGAGAAACAGAGAGGGAGAGGCAGCAGCGGGTGCTTCCATCGAAGGATGACCAAAATCGAACAAGCCACGTCGGCATCCGCATCGGAGGTCCGGACTAGGTCCGGACCAGGTCCACACCAGGCCGGCCTTCATACGCGAGATTAGGTCCCGGCTTGAGACCAGGTCTGAGCCTAAGCGGTGCTCATTAATAATAACATCGCGGGGCTCGCTGAGTCTTCTTTCAAGTTGGCGAAAAAAAAAAAAAAAAAAAAAAAAAAAAGATGGTGACCATCAAGCGACGGGGCTGYTTAAGTGCCTGCTCCAAAATGATTACACTCATCATGCGCGGGAGTGGCCGAGTTTTTTTTTTTTTTTTCCCTTCAATATCATGCATGATGACAAGGCGGCCAACGAGACACTGGAATATTTCGTATAATTATGTACGTCGTCTGCACGCAAGTCGGGATTCGGATGCACGACAGAAGAGAAAAAGAATAGAGTTGACAGGTAGCTCCGGTACTTAGTCGAGAGATTTTCCGTTCTCGCAATAAAGCCGATAATCATGATGATGATGATGATGATGATTAAGATGAAGAATTGGGACAAAAAACAAAAAAAGAAAGAAGGGGGAGGGGAGGGGAACGAGAAGGACGACTGCGTTCTGTCATGCCACGTGGCACCCGTAGCCTGCATCGCAGCCCGTAGCCAACATCATCGTTGATTCCTGAACGACAATAGACATGTGTACATGCTCAAGCGTAGGACACCTATTTAATGGTGATTATGTACTTTAAGAGTATGAGACTTCATGTGGCAGATTGTCAGAAACTTTATGTGCCAAAGAGAGAGAGAGAGAGAGAGAGAGAGAGAGAGAGAGAGTCCACGTTCCCATGTGAAAGAGAGTGAAGCAGAGAGAGAGACAGAGAGAAAGTAAGAAAGAGAGAGGGAGAGACGACAGCGGCTACTTCCATCGCTGAGATGACCAAAATCGAACCAGTCTGCCACTAAAACATGTGGAGAGAGAGAGAGAGAGAGAGAGAGAGAGAGAGAGAGAGAGAGAGAGAGAGAGAGGATGCCGTGCTTCCCTTCATACGATGACCCGGATCCAATGACTCTGCCACTACAACATGCACACAGAGAGAGAGAAAGAGAGAGAGAAACAGAGAGAGAGAGAGAGAGAGAGAGAGAGAGAGAGAGAGAGAGAGAGAGAGAGAGTGAGGCCATGCTGTCGACACATTTGCTTTCTGCGGACCTGAAGTCAACCCTGCCGGTATATATATCTGTTTGTGACAATATATATATATATATATATATATATTTATATATGTTTTGTTTTTTTTTGGCAACGAATTTCCATATTGCCTTTGGATAAAAGTTGTTCGGCTTTTTTTTGTACATAACATACTTTTTTTTCAGATTTCCCGAAATTTGTCTTTTTTTTTTTTTTTTTTTCGGCTGTGACCTTCCCTCATCCTCACAAAAATTGCGGTCACATTACATATATTTCAATCATACTCGACTTCTTCACACTTGTCATCCATGCAAACAGCGAAACAACAAACTGGCGACATGCGCCCACACAGTACTCAAAGATATCGTAACCAGGTAAGAGTTCTCTTCAAACTGGCTATGGCGACTGAGCGCCCACACAACTCACTGTTCGCACTCTGGATCACCCTGGATGTCCCACACGCACACTCAGTGTTCATACCCAACACCCATACAGTACACAAACTCTGCACTCTACACTGAGCTATGGCAGCTATGGCTGCCTCCACCTATTGCTATGGCTACAGTGCTTCACTCTTGTCCCCTTCGTCTTCGGGCCTCCAGCAGACCTCCTTGCACTAGACGCTGTGGCAGCGCTACCGCTTGGCATCCGCAGCAATGAATGCTTGGCTGGACGCAGCCTCTTGATTTATACTTCTGCGCTCCATTGGTCTGCCCTGTATCCCTGGCCCATGGTGCACACAGTCCCCCCCGTGGTACTTGCTGGACCGGACTGGTACTTTCTAGACTCTYCCATAACTGCATGGCGACTACCCTACAACGCAGTGCAATTGCACTCGGGTCCTACTATTTGCCCTTGCCACTGGTCCTCGTTTCCAACATGGGCTTGCTTTAGTCACACCACTTGCCCACTTGCCTGCACCACTTGACCACTTGTCTGCACCACTTGCCCACTTGCCAACCTTCTAGAAGGGCTGCAC